CGGCCCTTCCCCAGGGCACGGGGAGGAGCCCCGGGGCTGCGGGCCCGGCTTCTGACAGCTGGGGCTCCGGGGCGCCTCGTGTCCTCGGGCGAGACATTTGCTCTCTCCTTGTGCTAGTCCTTTCCGCTGCTGTCTGAAAGCGTGGGGAAATGCCCTTGTGTCAGCAGCAGGTGCTTAAGTCAGGTGTGCTAATGTGGGACCGAACAGTTCAGCTTGGCTGGCAGTTGGATTTGACAGATGCTTCTTGGCTTCAGTTTCTGGAATACTTACGTGGAAGTCTTGTTAGTATTGTTAAATGTGTCGTTGTTTGTGTTGCTTTAACTTTCCTGAGACTAATGTTTTTGTATAAAGCTCCGTGTCTTGAAATGTTATGCTTTTAAAAATTATTGTTATAGTAAATAATGTAAATGGTATTTTTTTTTTACCATAACAGCATAGCACTATTTTTCTTTTTTAACTGGATGTTTGCCATGAAACAGGTAAAAAAAACTGTGTCTCTTTCTCCATCTTTATCTTGTGTTTGATGCCTAAAATAATCTTCTCAAACTGCTTCTGACTAATTGGCCTTTATTTTTTGCAGTTATAGGTAAGAAAACTTGAATCTTGTGATTTAGTATTTTTTCTGTAGCCAGGTGTCAACGTGCAGCTGGGCTATACCTGTGTCCTACAGGGGAAGGAGGACTGTTTATGTCATGTTTGTGGAGAATTACTTTGTAGGATTTCAGCTCTTAAAAATAAAGATCTTTAGAATAAAGAGCAGGAGGATATTAACTAGGTTATCTGGGAACAGGAGAGAGGCTTGAACTGCCAGTGCTGAAGCCAAATTGCCTGCTGTACTCATCTTCTGATCTGTTCAGGTTTTTTTAACTGTAGGTATTTAAAAATGAGCAGTCAACTCCGTAATTTTCATAAATTGCCTTTGTCTGTTTAGGTGTTATTGAGGGGCACACAAGTTTTCAGAACATGTTGAAAAAGGCTGAAAAGTGAAGTTGCAAGAGCCACAACACACAGGATTTTGCAGGATAGGAAAGTAAAAATTAGCCATTTACTTGTAGGTCTTGGTACCTAGCATGAGATCTCCAAAACGATTTCTCCACTTGAAATTTGAAAAGTCAAGAACTATCCAGTTGCAGAGGTTTTAGTCAGCTTCCTTTTATAATGTATTTCTCTTGGCGTTTTGCCTTTTTTCTATTGCTTGGGGTACATAATTAGTATCTGTAGGAGTTTTTTTTCTGGCAAACATATCACAAAAATCCCTTGGCAACTTCTGTAGCCAGGAACTCGCTTCTGTGCTGGAGTAGGTCTTTGCAGGTCAAGATGAAATGGAAAAGCTCATAACGTTATTCTTATTCTTCAGGTCTGCGATTTCACTGGTTTTGTTTCCGTTTGATTAGCATAAAGTTCTTTTGTATGCAAGGTTACAGAAATAACCACTTTTGTTCAGGAGTGCCTTATCAATGTGAAAGTTGCAATTAGGACACTTTTTTTCTTCCCGTCCCTATAATTAATGCATTTTCTAAAGCTTTCTTCTCACTAGGTGTTGTCTGTTTCTTTTTGATCTTGGCAAGTAAAGTCAGTAGTGGTAGGGAGGAACAGAAGTATAGGAAGTCTTTTGGTAAGTAGTGTCAGTGTGTATATAAAGCCTTCATACACGTGTGTGTTTGCATAGTGTATGTATATAGGCACATGTGTATAATTAAGTATAAAGACTGACATAGAACAATATGCAAAATAAGATGGTTTGAGATTTTCTGCAGGGTTCATGCTTGCTTGGTCCGTGCAGTATTTTGTGCAGTTGGGTCTGTGTCCGTGGCTCTGGCTTTCATGCTTAGGGTTACAAATACTGGCATGTGTTCTCTACCAGCTTGGGAAAGTAACAGAGCACAGCAGTGTCTTCTGCACTTTCCACATACTCTGCCAGGGTTGTTTTCATCCCCTTTTTGCAGGCTGCTAAATTTGGAGGTGGGGACCAGTGTGTAGTGGATTTAAACTTGCTGACATTGATTGCTTGTTTCTAAAACTTTGTTTTGGGCACCTGACAAAGTAGTTGATGGACCATCCAGGGATTTGCTACAACAGGCTGAAAGGTGCTGCTTCATGCCTATCGGATACTTTTTTGATTCCTCAAGTATGAGACTTTTGTATGAGCCTGATGAAGAAATGTTTTAGGAACACTTTTGTGGTGGAAAAGTCACTTCAGATCAATGATTCTGGAATTCATGTCAAGTGATTAAACTGGGAAAACAACCAAGTTTTGCAGAACATATTGATGATGTGTTTTCTAAATTACCCTGGTTTAAAAAACATTTATTCCAAAACAAGGACTGCTTTTACTGAACTATAGCAGACTGATCTCCTTGTGAAACTTTTATTTTTCTGTGCAGATTGGCTGAAGAGTTACACATGCCTTCCCTGCCAGAGATGATGTTTGGAGACAATATCCTAAGAATACAGCATGACCATGGTTTTGGAATTGAGTTCAATGCAACAGATGCTTTAAAATGTGTCAATAATTGTCAAGGTATGATCAAAGTGGCTTGTGCAGAGGAGTGGCAAGAGAGCAGGTACAGTATCTTATCACCAGTGGGCAAGTACTGGTGTGTTGTATGTGAAACTGTCCTAAACTACTTAAAATAGCAAACTGGGCTCTTGAACACCATGTTGGATCTGGTTCTACCATAGATACACTGTGAGAACAGAAGTTGCTTAGCTTGTCTTTGCCATTATAACCCTATAAATATTGGTTATTATGACCCAAAATAGAGTCAACTGTGTTTTTCAGTTATGTCTTTGCTTTTTTTAAATACACTACAAGATTAACAGGGCTTAATGCTGTTTCTGTTTATTCAAACTCACAGGGCCTCAGGCATTACACAGGTATTGTGTGGCATTTCAAAGTGCAAAATGCTGTATGTGTTCAAAACCTTAGCCTTAGGAATGTAGCAGAACAATTATCACGCGTGAGAACTGACTGTACTGCTTAGTATTTACCAAGTTAGTTGCAGAGCACCTAAAAGAAAGTGTAGACAGAGTTCAAAGGTGTCATGAAAACTAGGGCAATAACGGTGTTAATGATTGCTATGTGTTATTAGCAGATTGCTTTTGGCTTCCTTCTTAAAGAAGTATCTTAAAATGCATTTTTTTCAAAAGCGTTGAACTAAAATCTTTATTTTGACTCAGGACTGAGATAGTATTAGCACAAGAATTCTGGTAACAATTTTCTAATTTATCATGGAAGCAGATGTGAAAAACACAGTACTGTGTTATTAAATCTTGACATTGTTGTAAAATCTTAGAGGTTGGAAGAGACCTCTAAGGCCATTGCAGCACAGACAATGCTGCTATTTTTCTTCTTGATGAGTGTGGGAATCTTTATTCATCATCTTATCTGAGGTTGTAATTTTCTTAAGAATTACTATAAAGCATGCTGTTTTCTCTGTCACTTCTTGAGGAGTGAGACTGAGCACACTAAGGAAGTTGTCAAGCCATATGATTGGACGTACACAACAGACTACAAAGGAACATTACTGGGAGATACTGCAACATTAAAGGTAGCCATTTTCTTCTTGTTTAATGCTGATTACATACTGTTTCAGTCAAACACCAACACTTTTTTAAGCAGTCATTTACCTTCTGTAAAATCTTTCATGCTTTATAATTTCTAACTTAAATGTATAGATTGGGCTTTTCATTTCTCTCAGCATTTTATCCTAATCAAATCATGGCTTACTTAAACTGGGTTATTTTTTGTAAAGCATTTTAGCATTATATAAAATGATGCCATTGTGTCTCTTAGTGAGGACTTACCCAGGGAGTAAAGCACGTGGGAATCTTCAGTGCTTTGTGGATGCCCCTCTGAAGCTCTGAGCTCCTCACACACAACTAACTCTCAGCTGTGTAATTCTCCAGTACCCTTACTCTCAGTTCCTTGCCCCTTTGTCTAAGCAGATACGTAGATCTGGCTGCTTTCAGTGACTTTGCTTTTCTGCAACAGTAACTCATACTTAAACTCATAGGCCCTTTCTTGTCGTTACTTACTTTAAAATAAGACTGAAGTTCCCAGCTTCTTTTTACTGTATGTAAATGGCTTGCTACTAAGTAGATAATCTATATTAATTCACTAGGATTGCAAGAGTTATAGGTCAGTTGAGTTACTCTGGAATGACGTGCAGCGTAGAAAGAAACAATGTCTTGTTGGCCTTGTAGTCTTGAGGCAGTGAAAGTGTATGAGTGTATGTGGAGACCACGAGATGGAAAACATACAGGTACTTTATTTCCGTGGAAGGGCTCTATTAGAATCCTGTTCAGGGTTTGTAATGGGTTAGAGATACTGAATGCATGGAATCTTGCTTATAACCCAGAACTTCTCATTTTTATGTTAAACATGAGGCATTTTCAAATGTTTGAAATACAGGAAGTGAGCAGGATTGTTTGCAGCTGAAACCCTAATGAGCCTGTATCCAGTAGAAGGTTTATTCAGAATTTTCCATTCTTGGTTTTTGCTTTCATTGATGTTTAGTCTTGGAAACTGGTTTTAATTTTAAATTTTCTCTTAAAAACTTGCAATATTTTAAGCTTAGTGCCCTAAAAGCTTTTCCTTTCTAAAACTAGCAATTGTGTGATTTAAAAGATCAGGACAAACTTTATGTAGCTTGGCGACAAATTCATACACTAACTGTTCTTAACTTTTTTCTTCAGGTTGTTCCTACAACAGAACACATAAATACAGAGAAATTGAAAGCCAGGGAACAAATTATGTTTTTTGAAGAAGTACTTCTGTTTGAAGACGAACTTCATGATCATGGGGTATCAAGTCTGAGTGTTAAAATAGTGAGTACTGAAAAGTGTTACAAGACGCTCAACGATTCAGTTGGCTCCTATATGCAAAATGGAGTAACTTATTGCATATTGTTCCTTCTGGGATTTAAAGTTTAAAAAGCAAGGATCTTTATCCTTCCTTTTAGAAATGTATCCTTACTGGAAGCTATTTTGTCTTGAAATTTGAAACACAGTTGCTTCAGGGAACAATCTTTTCCCACTTATGCATCCTATCTACGAATCTTTTTGAGACCTTGTCTTTCCTGTTGTCCAGTGATAGTTGCAGTGTATCAGGAGCCCAAATTTTGACTTTTATTACTGAAAGCTCCTCACACTATGTTTTGTGAATATCTGATGTAGATAAATGCATACTTGAAAGCTTTGTAATATGCTGAATGGAACATCTTTATTTTTGCAGAGAGTTATGCCTTCCAGCTTTTTTGTGCTGCTAAGGTTTTTCTTGCGAGTTGATGGGGTACTTATCAGGATGAATGATACAAGGCTTCATCATGAGGTAAACTCTTACTCACCATTATTTGTATTGTCCAGATGCTCCCTTGCCATGTTACTTTCAGAGAAGACCTGCTGACATTCCTGTAATTTCATACTGATGTCAGGGTGTATGGAGATGACCTGAACTGAACTTTCAAGTGTATTTTATTATTGTGGTGGTGCAGAAGTAGCAACCAAGTGCTGGATGCCATGTGGCTAAGCACTGCGTGAGCAAAGTAGGCTGTCCCTCATGTGAAGTAATTATTTTAATATATTTGGCAGATGCAGATCAGAAAGGAAGTACAAGAGGAAAAATAGGCAACAGTGAATGGTGTGATATTGTTCTTATCCTCATCTCCAAGTAAAGTGGTTTTTTTTTGGCTTGTCTGATACACAACTGCAAGTTTTAAGTTGCAAATAACTGTCCATACTACACTGAGTTCTAGTATCTCATAAATAACATGGAATGTAACAGTTGTGGTTTGCTTATTCAGTCTAGCTTTATTCATACTGATGAAGGAGTTCTAGCTGAATAAAGAGTAACAAGCATATTTAGTCATAGAATTATTTTTTTTTTCATGCATGCACATAGAAAGGTGTTTTTTGAGAAAGAGAGAATATTGCTAAACATCTGTCTTCGTGCATTTGAACATATTTCTGCTCCCAGGTGAAAATCTGTGATCAACCAAGTTTAAATACTTATTAAATTCTATGTATTTAAAATGCTCTTTTTGCACTGATACTAGATAATTTTGTCATTAATTTTTGCCATTTTTTTCCCATTAGGCTGACAAGGATTACATGTTGCGAGAATATACATCCAGAGAAAGCAAAATATCAAGTTTAAAGGTATTGCATTTGTTACATTTCTTTTTCTGTTTGCTTTTTAAAATTGTGTTATGGTCAGCATAGAAGATACTGTGTCTGTAAGCCATTCTCCCTAACCTCCTGCTTATGCAACATTTGTTTTGGTGATTTCAGAGCAAATTTGCATTTGTAAATGCTCGGATCACATGGCAAGATATGAGATTGGGTTGCTACTTCTACTTTTGGTAGATGTTTTTATTTTTTTTGAATTTTATTTTCTCACAACTGTTCAGCCACAAAATGAGGACCTCTGTGTCCCATGATGCTAAATTGCAGGGCTTCTTTGTATACTTGCAGGTATTAGGGGTTAATATCTGTTTGGTAATAGACTCATCCAGTTTGTCTCACATAAGTTTAATAGCCTACCTTAAAATGTTAGTAATGGCTCAGAATAATTTGTGGCACATTTGGAATTGCAGCGGATGACTTTTATTCTTGACCCAGCAACTGATCTTGGGTATTTTTGTTTTTTTCCTTCCTTCTCCATTGTTTTTCCTTCACCTGTAAAAAGTGACTAATGTGTTACTAACCTTCTGAGGGAATATTTTTGCTAAATGTTTTTCTTTTTGAAGAAAGGGGCATTGTGTCGTTTCTTAACAATATGTAATCCTTATAAACAGGACTAAATCTAGACATGAGTTTTTTTGACAGCTTTGTGGGTTTTGAAATACAAATTAGTTATCTAGGTTTTACTTCACCTCATGTTTAAAAATTATCATCTGTGCTTTTAAATGAATTTTACTGCCTGCTGTTATAGAGAGGAAATAGTGCTCTAGATCAGCTTGTATAAGTTAAGGACAAAATAGACTCCTGCTTCATCTAGGTTTGAAATAATTGAAACAGCAGTATGATTCCTTGCATGTTAGGGGAAGCCAAAATACAAGTGGCATTTGAATAGCTCTGGATACACTTCTTTAAAAATGTTGTTTAAAGTTGGAAGGTGGTTTGCTTGGTATAGATTATTTTTTCTTCATCAAATGTCTTGTACGTGGTGAAGTTGTCTACAGGAATCTCCAGAGAAAGATACTGATATGAAGCCACCTAATTTATTCAAATATGAAATTAAAATCCAATGAGTTATAATATTTCACATAAATGTCTGTGGTCGACTTCATAAAACTAAGATACATATTGAGGTATACAGTATATCAATAGCTAAATCTGAGCAACTTCAGTGAACATATTGCAATAGCTAGAAGACATTAAGCATGAGATCCCTTGTGGCTGTAGAATGCCATGTTGGAAAGGATCTCAAGGATCATCTGATGCATTCTTTCTAGGTACTACTATAGTTTATATGAGATGGCTTAGCACCCTGTCAAGCTGAGACTTAAAACTGTTCAATGTGGGGGAATCTACCTCTTCATTTGGGAGACTATTCTAGTGTTGACTCATTGTCCTCATGGTGAAAAATTTACCTCTTGTGTCCAATCAGAATCTCCCAGGAGCAACTTGTGCCCATTACCCCTTGTCTTTTCCATGTGACTCCTTGTAAACAGGGAGTCTCCATCTTGGTAGCCACCCTTTAAGTACTGGAACTTTGTAATAAGGTCTCCCTGAAGCCTTCTTTTCTCAAGGCTGTTTGGTACATCCGGATCATAAACATGCTTTTTTAAAACATTGTAGCTGATCATGAATGTCTTTGACATTATTGTGCTCTTATAATCTACTGCTTAAAAACATTAAAAGCCTTTCCTTAGTCTGTTGATCCACGCAAGGAGTAAAAGGCTATGTATATATGAAGTTATAAGGTAACTTAATAATCATACCTGACTTTAGGTGTTGAAATCAGGTAAACTATAGATTAATTGCCTGTGAAAGTTTGATTTTTGAATACTTTTCCCCACACACACTTAAATTCACTTGTTTTGTGTAAAATATTTCCTTCTTAGCACGTTCCTCCTTCCCTGTTCACGGAACCTAACGAGATCTCTCAGTATCTACCCATAAAGGAGACAATCCTTGAAAAACTAGAATTTCCAGAGAAGCTGGAGCCTAAAGCAGAAGCATCACTGGAAACCATGTGTGTTAAATCTAAATAAACGTGACTTTATATGGACTTGAAGTAAACCGAAGACAATGTGATCAGGTAACAATTGCCATTGAGGGGGCGGTTTCACTACTAGTGGAATAAAGAATTTGGCTATTTTTTCTGTAGCCCTGAGGGAAAACATTTCAAGCAGGTTTTGCTAATGTGGTTTTTTTTGTCTGTTTCTTTGTTTTGTTTTGTTTTTTAAAACCTGTGTCTGGAGTTAGTGACAGACGAGTTAGGAGTTACAGGCTTCAATGGTATCGGAGAAACATTCTCGTGATTGAGAGTCTGAGTTCTGTTTAGTTCACCAGATAGGCAGGAGTATTGTTTGGACCCTCCACCACAAAAACGTCTAGGAAGATTTTGTTATTGCTGCTTCAGATACAAAGAGATTATGAGAGTCATAAGATTGGCATGACAATATTGAGAACTCATCCACAGAAAAGAAAAAAAAAAAAGGAAAAAAAGATTGTTCTCTGTGTTTGTTTCGAGCTGTCAGCCCTAAACTACACATTTTGCTTGGCTTCCCCTATTGTGAGCTGATAACCAAATAAGTTACATTTTGTATTCTCTGATCCAGACTTAAACTTAAGAATATTCATCTCGTATGAGGATAGATTTATGGAGATAAAAAATTGCCTTTCTTTGACACTATTTAAAGGTAAAACTACCTTCTTTGTGAAGCACTAACTCCAGAGCAGGGGAAAAGCTGGAGGTTAACAGAGACACTCACTGGTAAATCTTGTAACAAATACTAGTAGATTTCTCTAGGCAGTCCTGGAGAGTCACTTACTGTGCTGGAAACTCATTGTAGTGCAGTGACTTTATGTTGGACCTATTGGATGCTTACTACCTACCTATGGTAGTTACACTGCCCTGGCAGTAGAATTGCTGAATCACAGGGTGACTTAAGGCCATGGAAGAGAGAGGGGTCTCTAATCCCTAAAGGGTTCTGTTGTTTGCAGTTTGAGGAACAAGTTCCTGTATTGTCTTAAAAGGATGCTAACATGTATTTCAGATGTGTCATTTTGGTTTATTTTTAAAATTCTTGAAGTTCTATTATTAATAGAAGTGTGATCATATGTATAGTCATGATTTTAACTCAAGACTTTGTACATTAAACTTTAACTATTTGTATTGCTTTTGGAAATTCTAAATTACGTTCATGGTTTGGCTTAAGAATGGGGGAGGTAAACAGTCTTACCTACATTTATTGCTCACACTCAATGAAATGCAAAAAGCAGGCGTGGTTTAAGATGGTTACAGATAAGAATGTGTACACATTCTGATATCTCGGAGGTTTTGTTTAAAAATCTTCATATTCTACTCTGCATGGCTTAATAAAAACAACCCACATCAAAAGCTGGTATTAAACCAGGTCTTTTGAGAAACAGTTTTCACTTAGAGACATCCCTGAGTTTTTTAGAAAAAACTCTACTTCCATCTAAGTGACTTTTCTTAATAAAAACAAACAGCACACTTTGTTTCACTTTTATCTGAGGCAGCCTGGTCTAATGACTTGATCCTAACATTGAAAGGCAGAACCTGACTGCAGTTTTTCCTGTGTCACTGATTTGCTCTAACCATGGGGAAGTCACTTTTCTGTGCCTCAGTTTCCTGTATTTAAAAATTAGTTAGTACATGCCTAGCTCATTGGGAGTCTGTGAGGATCATTTTGTAAAAAGTTACTGATTTGAATTTATTTTTTTTCCTGAATATACCTTCAGCCTTATCTTTGGAAGCCTTTGGAAAGAATTACTGCACAAAATCTTACAGGATAAAATGAGTGAATGAACTGAAATGAACCAGTATCTGAAATAAACGGTTATCAGCTAGACATGATCTGTGTGAGGGAATTCACAGCCACTTTGAAATAGAGGTGAGATCCTCTATACTTCCCTTTAGACTCCTAAATTCTCTTGGCTTTTTTCATCTTCCTGCACTTATTTCCTAAAGATTTTAGTGTCAGGAAAAAGAAAGCCTTGGCTGCAAATGAATTAAGCCTGGAAGTGATGAACATTCATTTGGTAATATAAGATTCTTTAGGTCCACTCCAGTGATAGAGGGAGTTAGTGAAAAGGGAACAACAAATGGGGGTGAAGAGGTATTTTGCTGGTAGAAGTAAATCATGGCACTGATTTAAAGCATCTATTATTTTACATGCCCTAAAGGCTTGTAAAGACACACTTTAAAGCTGGTGGTAACTGGGAAGAGAGCTGATGTAGTGCTAGCATGAAGGAAACTCTGTCTGCATTTGTTAATTAAAATTGATTTGGGTTTAGTCAGTGATGCTCATGTTAAGCTCCATTGGGCTAAGGTATCGGGGTGGGGGGGACCCACAGAATCAACACCCAGCACTGAAAAGAGTGCTCTGCATGTTTAGCTTATACTGTGTATTTTATCTTGTACATCATGCATACCAATTTGTGACCTGTTGATAGAGTTGTTTCGAATGGCCTTGAATCCTGACTGTATGTGTTACCCATGTGGTTTGGGTGCTGCGTGTTGAAGTGGAACACACACCTTGGGGAAATAGCAAGAACACATTTAGGAAGTTACAGTTACTGAACAAAGTAAAACTAGGAGCACTTTGTGACTCTCTTATACTACACAGAATATCAAGAAGCAGCAGTGTAACCTCGTGTACCGCAAACTGTGGTACAAATTTTCCACAGAAAAGTAGCACTTTGAATGCATCATTTTTAGGGGGAGGGAGCAGGGTGATGATTCTCCAGCTGTTTTGTGGCAAGTTTAACATGTGGCAGTTTATTTCTTGTATGTCACTAAATAAAATGTACCAAACGTTTTACAGTTCTGTTTTTATCTGAGCAAAATAAACTGAAATAACTACTGATGATGCTGAACTTCTGCATTCTGGTAAGATGTTGCAGTTTCCCGTGTGCCTTTGCCTGTCACCAGACTGCTCCAGCTAGTTAGGAAAATAAGGCAAGACTTCTTCAGAACACTGGGAGCAAAATGAAATCTATATTGCTGTGTCTCTGAGCTGGGAGGAGATAGAGTAAGTAAAACTGGCAGAGTGGACTCTTCACTTTCAGAAGTCTGGAGAACACCAGCACAGTTTAGATGTCAGCTCCTGCCCCTGACTCTTAGGGAATGTGTAAGAGTAAGAAATGCCTGGCTCTTTGAGGAAACTGAGAGTTTTTGCTCTCTCTTGAAAAACCCTAAGCAAATCTGTAATTTACTACGAAGATAATCTCTGCCACACGAAACTGGGAATGGGCGCCTAAATCCCGCCGGTTCGGACGATGTCAGCTCCTGCCCCTGACTCTTAGGGAATGTGTAAGAGTAAGAAATGCCTGGCTCTTTGAGGAAACTGAGAGTTTTTGCTCTCTCTTGAAAAACCCTAAGCAAATCTGTAATTTACTACGAAGATAATCTCTGCCACACGAAACTGGGAATGGGCGCCTAAATCCCGCCGGTTCGGACGGTTCGCAGGACTTAAGTTCCTACACCTGCTCCGGCAGAGCGGCCCGGGAGGGGGCACAGGACCCACCAAGCCGTTTCCAGGACCTCTCCCCCCGATGGCGGGGCTGGCTCCGGCCACGGAGCCGCCCCCGCCGGCGCGGC